CAATTTATTCCAGTGATTAATCATCCTGACAGTTAGGAAGTTTTTCCTAATGTCCCACACAAACTGTCCTTGCTGAAATTTAAGCCCATTGCTTCTTGTCCTATCCTCAAAGATTAAAGAGAATAATTTTTCTCCCTCCTCTTTGTAACAACCTTTGATGTACTTTTGAAAACTCACGTCCCATGTCCTCTCTCAGTCTTCTCTTGAATAAACAAACCCAATCTTTCCTGAAATGTGTCACCTAGAACTGGATATGATTCTTTAGTTGAGATCTAATCAGTGCAGAGTAGAGTGGGAGAATTATTTTCTGTGTTTTGCTTACAGTACTCCCAGAATGATGCTTTTTTTTTTTTGGTAACAGAGCTACTCTGTTGACTCATAGGTAGCTTGTGATCCACATTGACCCCCTCCCCCCATGTCACTTTCTGCATTATTTCTTCCTAGATAGCCATTTCCCACTTTGTGGATGTGCAACTGATTGTTCCTTCCTAAGTGGAGTACTTTGCATTTGTCCTTGTTGAATATCATCCTGTTTACTTCAGACTATTCTACAGTTTGTCCAGATCAAAATCCATGGGATATTTTCAGTCTTCCCAAACATTTTTGGTAAATGGGAGGGGGGGAGCATGTGCTTTTTGGGAAGACATGGACCATGCCTACACTAAAGGGGAAGATCGATTTAAGATGCGCAGCTTCAGCTACTTTAATTAACTAGCTGGAGTCAACGTATCTTAAATCACTGTCCACACAGAGGGAGATTGATGGGAGCAAACACCCCTGTTGGCTTCCCATACTCCTCATGAAGAGCAGGAGTCCCAGCACGGATGGGGGTGCCCTGTCAGTTTGAATTAGTGGGGCTTCACGAGACCTGCTAAATCGAATCCTAGAAGATAGATCACGGCGGCAGCAGTCTTCAGTAGAGAGGGGAGAAGTTGTTCTCCAAAAGCAGCAGAGAACTTTGGTAAAGAACCATCACACAGAGAGAGGAGTAGTCTCTCTGGTTATGTTTAATCAGTTCAGTGAGTATAGATTGGGGCTGTGCATCCTCGTGTTGGAGCTCACCCTGCGCAGGAGTCTAAATCTGTTTCCTACACCAACCCCCTAAAGTCTGTGCCAACAAATATCATGCAGTGGACTGGGAGCTAGGATGACATGGCTTTTGAGCAGGGCTCTGAAAATGATTCTGTAAGGGTACGTCTAAACTACATGGCTCCGTCGACGGAGCCATGTAGTTTAGACGTACCCTTACAGAATCATTTTCAGAGCCCTGCTCAAAAGCCATGTCATCCTAGCTCCCAGTCCACTGCATGATATTTGTTGGCACAGACTTTAGGGGGTTGGTGTAGGAAACAGATTTAGACTCCTGCGCAGGGTGAGCTCCAACACGAGGATGCACAGCCCCAATCTATACTCACTGAACTGATTAAACATAACCAGAGAGACTACTCCTCTCTCTGTGTGATGGTTCTTTACCAAAGTTCTCTGCTGCTTTTGGAGAACAACTTCTCCCCTCTCTACTGAAGACTGCTGCCGCCGTGATCTATCTTCTAGGATTCGATTTAGCAGGTCTCGTGAAGCCCCACTAATTCAAAATGAATGAAGCCGCGATTTGCCAATCAGCCTAATCTACATGGCTCCATCGATGGAGCCATGTAGTTTAGACACACCCTAACTGAGGACGTGTCATTTCATCTCCCTGGACATCAGTCTCCTGATTGGTAAAATTAGGTTAATTGTCTCAACCTACCTCATCAGGGAAGTACAACTGGACAAAGGTGATTTTGGTGTTATAAGTAATTAATCAATTTAGTTTGTAAGGTGCCTTTCAGACAAAAACCACGATCTGAATGCTAAGTCTCATTATACTGAGTAACAATTTAGGTGAGATATGAGGCAGAAAATCTGGGTCCCCCTCTGCCTACCTATTTCACCTTTCAAGATCAGAATGGTGGCATGTCATCTTCAGATTACAAATAAAAATCACCTATTCATAAATCCAAAATGGCTGTGAAGGCTAAGAATTTCTCCAAGCTTCAGAAAAACAAGTAATAGCACTAGTACTGATTTATCCATGCCAGCATGTGGGTGTGTTAAAAGTTAATGTGGAAAGGATATGGCGTTAGTGCAGGAAAATATTCTCTGATGAAATGTAAAAAACTCTGTATAGGGCAGAGCTGCAGCAAATGTTGCACCCTTTGCCCTGTGTAGGCCCATTTACTCCAATGAAGTTGCCTATGACGTAAGTTGAGACAGAATTTAGGCTTTTTTATTATGAAAATACAGATGGCAGCTGCAGAGTGGCTTGGAGGCGTCACACATCCCCCAAATCTTATTCATGGAAGGGAAATACCAAGCTATTTTGTTTACATTCTACATGCAGGTGTGGAAGATGATTCACTGCCCTGCTCTTCAAAGACTTTCAGTGTTTGTTCTGGTGAGTGACAACTCTCACTTTCCACTGAGACCACTATCTTCAGTTCCACTCCTTAGCTGCCTCGCCTGCCAAAGCTGAGAAAGTATATGAAGTTGTTCAAGGTGGGGGAAGCTGGAGGGAGAGAGAAATCTAATGATGCTGGGAAAAGGACAGCTAATCCTCGACTACTTTCCTTGCCCCACAGTAATTAAGAAGGAGAGGAAGGAGAAAGCTTTGCCCTGCAGAAGAAATAAGTCAGATCCCATTGGCTTTATTCACCAATGCACTCTCTCATTTGTGCCATACATGCGTTGAAAGGTTGCTGGAATGCATACAGATGGTATTTCGGTAGTAAGATGATAGGAAAGTCTCAGTGCAACTAGATATGAGCCAGTATGGAAACATCCTGTCCTGGCAAATTCCTGTGGGTATTTTCCAAGTACTCAGAATCCACTGCTTCCCCGTTCAGGCTTTTAATCCATCTGCTGCTTCTAGTCACTGCTGGCCGCATAGGGGACAGGTTGAGAATACTGGGGTAACAACTTGGTAAATATGGAAAAGAACAGTGCCACAAAAAACATGTTTCAGCTGTCCTGTAAGTTTTGTAAATGCCTTGCTTTCAGAGAGCCTTGTGCCTTGGCACCAGTGGCGGATATAGGGCAGGGTGAGCGGGGAGGCTGGCCCGAGCCCTGCGCTTCAAGAGGCCCTGCACATGTGCCATGTCAAAGGGGGGACCCCGCAAAATTGTGCTGCCCTGGACCCCGCAAAACCCTCATCCGCCCCTGCTTGTCACACTTAGCCTGTGCAGCTAATCTTTTATCCATAACTGGTAGGAGAATAAGCTCAGCAGTCTGAGTCCCTGGTTAGATTAGCTATCCTTTTTAGAACCGCAGGTTCCGCTCAGCCCTTCTTCTTTTCAAGGCAGGTAAACTGACAACAACTAAGTTTGGTGCATGAAGACTATTTTGGATCAGACTTTGAAAATCCAGGTCCTGTCTGCTCTTCATGGTCCTTCCCAGGGGAGCCGACAGCTTCCTGGGGTAGGTGTTTGTGGGGCTACCTCTGTGCCCCTGGAAGGGGCGGAGCCTCAGGCAGACGGGGTGGGGTTGGAGGCAACAAGTCCTCAGCGCCACTCAGACGCTGGTGCACCCCCCCAGAGCCACTTGGAGTGCATAGTGATTGGGAATCCTAGGCCCCTTTGAATTGCCAGGGCCTGGGGAAACTGCCTCATTTGCCCTCCCTCCCCCGCCCCGCATCAGCAGGCATGGTCCTTCCCCTCCTTGGAGATGCTGTGATGTCTTGGGTTAGACCAGGGAACTGTGAGTCAGGACTCCACTGCTTACCTACACTGACAGTTTTTCCATGTGTCCAGCCTAAACTGCCCTTTCTGCAATTTAAGGCCATTGTTTAAAGGGTCAGTGTTTAAAAACAACAGCCCTTTGTAATCTTTGTGATGGATCCAGCTGTTTGGCGTCCTGTGTGGCATGTGGAATTCAGCGGCAAGGCAGCCCTTTTTATGTGAGATGTCGCTGCAGTCAGTTGTGCCGCAATGTCATTCAGCACCAAAGATCTTTAACAAAAATATTTCAAAACAGCTAGGCTGATAGCGTGGGTACATTTGAACGGGATTCTCTCACACACAGTTGTGTTACTCCCCAGAGAAATCAGGGGTTGGGATTGCTGAGAAATACTTGGGAAGCCAATTTCTCTTCTTTGTTTTTTCTTATTTCATTTCATGTTACTCTTGAGAGTTGTCTGTAATTTAAGATGGCTTGAGAAGACTATTGTTTATGCAGAAACCTTTCAGTTGATATATTTACTAAACATTGGTGATGCACATATGCCAGTAAGCTTTGTCTAGTGGAGGCTCCCTAAACTTTCGCAAAATCTTCTACTACTTCTTAAGTTGTGGCTCTGTGCCCATTGAAGTCAGTGGGAATTCTGCATTGTGTTTACTAGGGGAAAGACAGGGACTTTTATTTATTGTGCGGACAAACAATGGGATAGTGGATGGTTATTCCCTATGGACCAGTGTTCCCTGTAAACTCTGTGCTCAGGAGGCTGCTCAGGAGAGATTCAAATGCCTCCCAGCTGATTAGCAGAGCCCTCACAGCTAGATGTTTGTTTCTACTAGTGGTGCACATTTACACATGCCCCAGTGCACATAATTTATTTTGCACATGGATGGAAAAGATTAGAGGGAACATTGCTATGGGCCGAAAAGTTCCATGTTGAATCTCAGCTGTGCAAAGGGAATTTAGGGTGGGTTTAATCAGTGATCAGTGTCTGATCATCAGCTGGCAATGGGAGCATCACCCCATTATAAAGTTCATTGAAATGAATGTATTTTGCTGTAGACATAAGACATGTTCCTACTTAACACTTTAACACTAAAGATTTGATCCTGAGAATTCTTCCTCATCTCCTCAATTGAGTCATTCCATTGGTGGGACTACTCACTGGAACAAGGGGCACTAATACGAGTGTTTGCAGAATGGGGTCTTAACTGCGGTCAAGCATTAGCCCTTGAAATTTGATGTCAAACAAAGGGCAACTAAAATAACTAGATCTGCTGTTCTCTTTCCAGATAAGTGATGCTCCCATTTTTGTACCTGGTGTTTGGGGGCCTTACTACTCAGCCATGGTGCCTGGATTCTGGTTGAATGAGGGAGGCCAAAGCGCTACCGGAAAACTGGTGAGTCTGCGAAGGCACAGATAGCTTCTTATAAACATAGGAACAGTTCCTCAGTTGATGTCAATCAGTGCAGCAGCAGTGCAGCCAGCAGAGCTATTCCAGTTTTTATCAGCTAAGGGGCTGATCCCAAACATCATCATGAGATCATAATCGTGAAAGTGCTGCAAATAGCACTCCACACGTGGGTGCTTGGAAATGCTAACTAGAGTCTGTTAATTATGAGAAAAGTAGGCGCAGCTGTTGTGTTTGGCCCTCGCTTGCAGAAGTAGGGGAATGAAGCCTTAGGGAACATCTCTCTCTCTTAATACCATCTCTAGTTCCAGGCACAAGCCTAGCCCCTTGTCACAGTTCTAGGGCTGCTGACAGGCACCTTCCAAGGTCTGGACACTGAAAATTCCTTAGGGTGTATCCATCAGCCTAAGCAGGGGTCTCTAGGGTACAAAACTGAGGCCAAACAGTGTACTTGAAGGGGAAGAGGCTTCTGACTCCCACTGCCATAGTCCCTTTAATATAGTCCCAGATACCCTAACCCCAGAAAGAGGTGCTTGGTACTACAATCTCCTACCCAGCAGCTTACTTGAGACTGGCACACTACTGCCATTGTCTCCTTGAGGACACAACTTAAGGGGGATTACTGAATTGCCTTTCGAAAGGAAGTTCCTCTGGAGGCTTCCAGGAGTGAGCTGTAGAGCCACTGTCTGTTCTCTCCCAAAACTGCTCTGCAACTCTCTGGGCCAGTTTGTTTCTAGACCCTTATCCTACTCCTGATATGATGCACAGGGGAGCTTTGCCCACGGCAATTCTTTAAGCCCTTCCTCACCAGTGTGGGGTTTATTCACCCTGTCACATCCCTACACTCAAGGGAGAAATTGAGAAGACTGTGTATTGTCCCAAAGTCTATATCCTACTCACATAAGTTATATTTCAAAACTGTGCTTACTGATGGACATCAATAAATAGCACACTTGGGCTACATCTACACTGGCAGTTTCTTGCTCAAGAACTCTTTTGTGGAAGAGTTCTTGTGCAAATCTCTTCCATAAGAGAGCATCTACACTCGCATGTGCTTTTGCGCAAGAGCATCCATGGCAGTGTAGATGCTCTTTTCCACAAGAAAGCTCTGATGGCCATTTTAACCATAGAGGCTTCTTGCACAAGAAATTCATGTTGCCTGTCTACATTGGCCTCTTCTGGAAGAGCTCTTGTGCAAGAGGGCTTCTTCCTGAGAGGGAGCATCAGAGTTCTCACGCAAGAAGCCCTGATTTTCTGCAGTACATCATCAGTTTACTTGTGCAAGAACGCGCAGCCAGTGTAGAAAGGCGGCACGTTTTTGCGCAAAAGCGGCCATTTTCTCACAAGAACGCGCCAGTGTAGACACAGCCAATACAGTATATTGGGGTAGAAACATGTTTTCATTATACTCTAAATTGTCACCTAAATCTCTCGTTGAGTGCAAGGAATATGACTTGGATATGCACATACAGAGGTATCGGTTTAATTTGTTAATAGATAAAGGCTTGATCTTGAACAGTTCCAAGTTTTCTCAGCTCCTAGTAGGCACTTGTTACCTCAGAAGATTGGTGCAGGTTTCAGGGCAGGAGGCTGGATGTGTGGGGAGCTCAAGGCAAAATGTGTGGAGTGGGTTTGGGGATGGGAGCGTGGCCACCATGCTGTCTGGCCGCTGGATACCTGGGGCTGGCTGGAGTGGCAAGGACCGCACTGCCCAGCTGCCAGATCTCCATGGCTGGGGCAGCAACCATGATGCCCTGTCAGCCAAGCTTCAGGGCTGGAGTCTGGGTGTGCTGTGGCTGCCCAGATGCTGTGGGTGCTGATTTGGGCCCACCAAGGCTGGAGCCTTGCCTTCCCACCCCCAGCTGTCTGGCACTGGGGCCAAGCACTAGGGAGGCAGTGGTTTGGGCTCTGGCTGTGGAGGATGGCAGCCAGAATGGGAGGGGTGGGCTGACCATGCCCAGCAGCAGCACGGTGGCTGGCAACACCCAGAGCCCTGCCCCTAGCTGGCAGCTCTCATATCAGTGCACTACAGCAGTGTGAACCGGCTCACTTTCACCTCTGGGCTACCATACAACCTGCCAAAGTCTGAAATGTGAAAAGAGGCCTGGACCCAGCACCATTAGAGGCTCTGCTTGTCCTGGTGAAAATTTGTGTTTTTAAAAGTAATTTCTAGGCCTTTGTGTTTTCAGAATGAATATAGGAGGTGGGGGAAATGGGACATTTAGGCCGTGTCCAGACTCAGGGGGTTTTTCGGGAAAAGTAGCCTTTTCCCGAAAAACCTTCCCCTGCGTCCAGACTCAAGCCGCGGTCTTTCGAAATTATTTCGAAAGAACGCGGCTTTTCTTTCGATGGCGGTAAACCTCAATTTACGAGGAAGAACGCCTTCTTTTGAAAGTTCCTCTTTCGAAAGAAGGCGTTCTTCAATGTAAAGAGGCCGTCTTCGAAAGAGAGCATCCAGACTCGCTGGGTGCTCTCTTTCGAAAAAGCAGATTTCTCTTTCGAAAGATCCGCCTGCAGTCTAGACGCGATCTTTCGAAATAGGCTCTTTCGAAAGATGCTTTCGAAAGAGCCTCTTTCGAAAGAAGCCTGCAGTCTAGACATAGCCAAAATGTATAAGGTTCAGTTGCATTAACCAAGAAATAAGATGTAATCATGAAATTTTGCATATCCACATGGGGCAGAGGTAAGTATACACAACCGGCCTTAACTTGGTCATTTCTTGATATCCGAGTGTTTAATTATGCAAAACTTATTGTTGCATTGAAATATTTTTAAGTAAAATATTCATACATACACATACATGAACACATAACTATGTTTTATTTATTTGTGTATTTACTTTTAAATGTATAGACTGGTCCCATCAAACGTTTTCTGGACAGATTTGCACAGTTCCTACTAACCAGTGTCAGCCTTGAATTGGCTTTTTCTGATGTTAACATTTCAGTCAACAAACCTTGGGGCATGCCACAGCTCTGTTTCTAACACCATTTCTGTTTTTATAAATGGTTTTCTTTCATCTCCTACCTAAACTCCAGAGGGAATCAAGAAGTATTTAGTTCTTTCCCTGTATACAGATGTGTGTGCATAGTTAAAATAAATTTTATTATACTGTTAACACCCAAGCACCCAAACTAATGAACATTAAACACATGACTTGACTTGCTGCCAGCAGATCTTGCCAAATTACTTGCCTATTTATTCAGTACTCTGGGCAGCCATAGTTTTGCCTCATTACCTTTATGGGTGCCTCTGACAGGCATTATGGACTGGCCACAAAAGCTGCTAAATTACCACTGTGAAATTCCACGCAATCCTACACAAGGCATTTGTTTGTGCATAATGCTAGATACCTTTCCTTAGAGGTTCCAATTCTCACATCAACTCTACATAGGGTTTTTTTTAAACCAGAGTTAATTGATTTTTATAGCGAAGAAATATTTTTAGTGTTCTTGAATGCTTGGGGAGTGTCCACACTAGCCATTACAAATGTGTTAGCTACTTCAAACTATTATTTGAGAAGATGTAAGCTTATCATTCCTCTTATTTTTGATATATCACTGTTAAACTTTCTGATCCCACTGAAATTATGGAAGGTTTGCCATTGGCTTCAATAGGATCAGGTTTTAGTACTTCACGAGTAAACTGGAAGCTCTTTTGTCATTGTAGAATGATAAAGGTTCAATATATTTTACCAGGATTTAATCTTTAATTTATTTTAAGCTGGTTGTTTTTCTTTTTGTTCTTTTTCAGATCGATCATGTAGTCCGAGGTCACATTGCTTTCCCAGAGTTACAAGCAAAAGCTGCAGCCAGGTCATCATTCTTATTTCTTTATCAAAACATCATCCTTCCAAAGATCTTTTTTACACTATGCTGTATCGTCATCCTTGTGTTACGACATTCCCGTTTCAGAATGTGGGGATCAGGCAAGCTGGCTCTGAACTCAGTCCTCTGAGTCTGAACTGATTGGAAGTATTTACAAAGGCTTCTGTAATGATAATTCAAAGATCAAAGCTTTAAAAACCTAAATATCCACCCTTCAGTTTACCCAAATGGTGTGCCTGGCCTTTTGCTTTGTATGTCAAAGTCTTCTTTGAATCCAGCCTAATATATCTCTTGGAAGTACAATATAATCCTCATTTTGCAGACCTGGGTGCCTAAGGCTAGTTCTGTCTCATACTGCAGAGGTGTAGTTGTCAGGCTCCAGGAATGAGGTTCAACTTACCTTGCGCTATTGGGAGAGATCTGCTAAATGAAAAAAGACTGGGATGGTGGTGTAGAGAGGAGTGCAAACCTGGAATCTAAACTGGATAGCTAAAACCAAGAGGTGGATTACCCCTGTACCAGTCATGTTTTCCATGAGTTCAGCATGTCTGCCCTAAACAAATTCTAATACTGCATTGAATGAGAAAACCCTTGAGTGCTGAGGTAGAGGGAACTTTATTTCTTTACATACAGAATATAAAGCAATACAACTGTCCTGTGTGACACGGGTGTAGTATCTTTAGTTCTTATTTGAGGCTCATGCAGTTGGTAAAACTGTATAGGAGAGTGTTGATAAAGAGAGTCATAATATTTTATAGATTAATATACCAATGGCATTTCTATAATGCTTTCCAGACACTGCCATTCTAATGATATGTTTTCATAGCTATAAATTCAGTAAACAAGCCACTTAGAAATTCACCCTCCTCTCCATTCCCCTGAAGAAGTAGGAACTAACTTAAACTGACAGAAGCCAGGAACTTTGCAGTTCAGGTTGAAATTCCATCGTTAAGACATCACCTTATGCCTAGCTAGTATAGCATATGTGGCCTAAAACTTCACCCATTGCTGTGAGGCATCATCACAGAGAATTATATCATCTGAAATAGCCAAATAGAAGGCGGTTAAGTCAGATTCTTAATATTAATTTAGGATCTTGTTTGGGTTTGGGAGTTGTTAATGAGGAGGGAATGGTGAGTTACTAGCCTGCAGATCTCCTTGGAGTGTTTTAGGGCACCAGTTCTAATATAGTGGGCCTGATTCTTCATTTTGTCCAGTCATTTATGCTGGTCCAGAACATGTAAAGTGGGTATAAAATGCCAGCCCATCAGGCTGCACGGCCATGAAGAATCAGGTCCATTTTGTCTGATAGTTCATATTGTTGTTATTGAGAGTAAAATTCCACATATGCAGGCTAGCGGATGAACTCAAGAAAGGAGATGACTTTGTGATCTAAGCATCTTCCTTGAATCACAGTTTCTAACCCTGATGGGTTTGGGTCATCCAGTCATTTTAACATGGTGGACATACTAAGTTCCATGTAGCGTGCATTGTTTGGGACTTTCTGTAATGAGACCTTGAATAACAAAATCCCTGTGCTTGACATCGTAGAACTGATGGCAGATTTTGTAAGAGTTGTGTTTTGCCGTGGTGTCTTTGGGGACAGAATTTCCATAGCTTCCACTAATGAGCAGTGTGTTGTTTTGGCTGCTGTTCTCCCACCTTAGAGAGAGCTGCTTTTTAGTAGTGAAGTGAGATATGTCTGTAAAATGCTTTGGTATCTTTGAAGCAATATATGATGATAGTATCTGGCAGTTCTTTGCATCTGTGGATCTTAGAGCCAGATTTTAAAACATATTTAGGGCCTAAAAGTGCAGAAAGGCATTTTTGCAAACCCCACTAGTGCCTAAGTGCCTAATTCCCATTTATTTCTGAAATCTGCCCCATAGTACAAACATACACTACTATTTTTTGCATAACTCCAGTAACATTTTTAAATAGTTGAAGAACAGCTAGCTAAATGACAGCCATAACCTTCGGCTTTGCAAAGCCCTAGAACACTATGTCTCATCCAACTGCGGCTGAAGTTAATGGGTGTCTTTTCCTTTTTTAAGATAGAAATCGGATTGGTTCAGAAAATAAGTAGCAGCAGCCAGGAACCCTGCTAGGCCCTTTTAAATCACTCAGGTGGGCCACAGGAATGGGTGATGAGTGAAACCCCCCTTTGGGAAGGCTAGATCCTAGGGAAACTAGCCCCTGGCTACACTCTCTCCACCTCGCCCCCCTCCCTGGAGAAACCCCTAAGTATCCAGCCCAGCCAGAAGCATCCTGGGCTGGCTGCAGCCCCTCCCCACATCCCGATAAGCTTCAAGTACCTCCCCTACTGGCCAGAGGAGCCCTAGGCCAGCCACAGCTGTGCCGCCCCTCCTTTCCCCAGACCCAACCTGCTCTGTAGAAAAGCATCTCTTCAAAGATGCATTTGAGATGCCCTGTGCAGGTTTTGGGGTGGCTGACTAGAAAATGCCCCTAGAGAAGAGAGGGGAGACGCGGCTGCAGCTGGCATGGAGCTCCTCAAGATAGATAGGTGGGGGATGGAACTGCAGTAGTTCTGCCGGTCTTTCCAGGCAGGTGGGGGAGAGGTTCCTCTGGGCAGGTGAGAGATGGGGCTGCAGCAGGCCTGGGGGTCCTCTGGCAGGTGTGGGGGGAAAGGCTCCTCAGGACAGGTAGGGGGGAGGCTTCTCTGTACAAATAGGGGATGAGGCTGTGGGCAGGCGATGGATGGGGTGCACCTGGCCCAGAAATCTCCAGACAGGTGGGGGATGGGGCTGCAACTGGCCAGGGGATCCTCTGCTGGGGAAACGCGTGGGGTTTCTCCGGGTGTGGGGATCCCCGTGGCTCCAACCGAGGGAGGGGACCAGCAGGCCCATTGATTGTTCTGTCTTACGGCCTGGTATTGCTGTTGGTGGGCCTGGTAGCACAACACTGTCCAATAGGCTTGGTTGACAAGTAGCACTGGTAGGCATTTGGGGGAGCTCTGCATTTCACTCTAACCAGACATGGAGTTGTGGGGCTTAGATATACAGGAAGAGGAGGAGGGTGTAGCTATGTAACACTAGTCTATCTGCTTGCCTGAGAAGGCATGGTAAAATGTCAACCTTTGCCACACAGGGTTTCTGCTTTAGAATAACTTCTCCCACTGGGATTCCAAGTAACAAGAGGGCCAGATGGAAGCTCGGAAGTAGGATAGGCCTCACGTTTAATGAAGTTGCCCTCTTTCTTTTTCCTTCTCACCCCATAAAAGCAGGGCTTCTACTGGAAATGCAGTGACTGGTTATTAGCAGGTACTGTTTATAATATGATCTTTAGGGAGGCAGAAAATAAGGCTACTATATGAAAAAAGAACCATTGTAACTTTCAGAATTATAATTCGGTTCTAGGAAGGCACAGAAAGCACATTTTAAACAATGTGAATAATGATGTGAATTAGTTATTTTAATGTCTTCCAAGTGTACTTCATTTTGAGTGATATTCCCTGATAGTACACATATGGAAAGGTATAATTGAAAAAACATGCCACTGAATGGTTGAATGCAACGTATAAATATACAGCTGCTAAGAGGTCAGAAGTCAAAGTGGTAAAGCATATGCCAAATTCCCTTCGGGATCTCATTAGTGCACGATTGAATATACACGTAGAGGCTAAATGAATATCACTGTTTGGACCTACAATAAATGAGACAATGACTAATCAATTGTAATTAGGGCTAGATGCTATTATTGACCAAGATGCCAGTGTTCTACCCTGATTTCTTAGGGGTCGAGACCAAACATAAAATTATAAATTTGTTTATAATGGTACAAGAGTTATTTTAAGAAGTATTCTAACCCTAATTGCAACATATTTTAACTGGAATGTCAGGAAGGCCATAGCAAGCCAGAACACTGAAGAGTTTGTCATTAATCCCACAACCACTGTTGGCTCAGGAAAAACGTACTTGGATAAAATGGAGATTGGTGTATTACAAGAACTTTGAGAAGACTAAATGTAGAGACCTTAATCACCTCCTCCTCTCCATAGTAGCATCTTTCTGTTCCCATTCTATCCTTACTTTTTTGTTTTAATTATGCCATAGGCTTGAATATGTTAATCAAGGAACTCTTGATTAACAAAATAAATTACTAACATTTGTAAAGTGATTTTATTTTCATTCTTCTTTGGGATTTTTTTTATTTTTTTCACTCCCTCAGCTTAAATTTCTCTGTCTTCATTGTGCAATTGCTTTCCCTCCTCTCTGTGTTGTGGGCAAGGCAACAAAATGCCAGTCAGCTGCAGCTTCTGAGACTGGCCAGCAGGAGGCAATGCACCAGTAGTACAGCTGCTACTATTGCTAAAGGTCGGTCAGCTTTCACTGGGCCCACCTCCTTGCCCAGTGTGGGAATTCAGACCTTCTACTGGCTGACAGTGAGGTGGAATTACTCCCACCCCCATTCTCTAGTGCCACATGCCTGGCAAAGAAATGATTTTTCTCTCTTTAAAGTTTGGCTTTTGGGCCCCTTTTGATGATTTTCTTGTATTTGACATTAGAAGTGCAAATGTTTTATGTTCACTGAATAACCTCCCTCCCTCTTTTTCCCCCCAACTTGTTTTTCTTCTAGTGCTCAAAATATATATACATACTTGAACAGTCACCTGGATCTGATTAAGAAATCTTTGCCTGCGGGTTTCCTCACTGTTGATTTACACGTTTGGCCAGATTTCCATGGTAACCGATCTCCTTTAGCAGATCTGACACTGAAGGGCATGGTAAGAAACAGCATGTCTTTGCACAAAGGTCAATCTAGAACAAAGGGGTAATATTTAATTTAAAAAATGGAAGGAGCATTTTTATTTTTAACGTATTCCTCCTTCAGAGTGTCCCACAGGATTTGGATTGCTGGCTAAGGTTTGTTGTTGTTGTTGTTGAAATCAGCAAGTGTTTTAGCAGTATACCGCCAATCAGGATACTTCTGATATCACCAGTGCCCAATTTATCTGTTGAAAATACTAAGAGACAGGTCTTCCATCCAGAATATTTATTGGTAGTTCATGTTTTAGAGAGCTAAATAGCACCATTCCTTATTTTTATGCACCCAACAGTCCACTTAGTCTTGCATGTGGAATTGGTGAGTCTCAATCCAAAACTGGTTAGGTGTATTCAGAGATTAAGAATATAAAATACTAAGGGCTTTAGTCCGAACTAACGCATCCCGGCACGCACTTCCTGGTTCGAATCAGCTGTGATTCGAACTAGCGTGCCGGCGAGATCATGTTAATGAAGCGCGGGATATTTAAATCCCCGCTTCATTAACTTCTTCGGTCGTCTCCATTTGCATCCCTAGTCCGAACTAGGGATGCAGTGTAGACGTACCCTAGGTGTGTTACACTATTTCAGATGCTTGTTGATCACTTTAAATCGAAGCTGGAAAGCTCCTGTGTAATTACTGGCAGTGGGTATGCAAGCGCTGATTTCAAAACAAATCAATTAATTGAATATGATACCGCCTGAATCTTTATTCATTTTCCAACACTGAGCTGAATCTGATCCCGATTTGAGGTTTGGAAATGTTTCTTCTGGAAGGGCTGAAATACTGTGAGAAAAAGCAGTTTTCACAATACTTCAATTTAGAACCGAGAAGTAGCAGCTTTAGGAAGGTCATGAGAGAACCTCTCCTGGTGAGATTTTCAACACGTGTCTGTGGACTCATGAGGGTCACATAAACTTCCACTTCTGCTATCTGAACCTGATGGAGGCAGACAGGCTGGATCATGTGTCAGAATGGTACTGTACAAGACCATGACTGAACAGGTGAATAAAGGTATAATCTGCGTGTCTTTAAGGTCTGATACCCTTTTGGATCATGAGGTCTAGTTCTGATTTGTGTCCTGTGTGGTTTATGGAATAACACAGCTTGAAATCGTCAATGGTTCCTGAGAGTTGGCAAATAAACCCAATGATACCTCAGTCATCAGCAGCCCTGCAACTGACACTTCAAACATTTGGGAGCTTCAGCTGTAATTACTGCTACTAAGCCCAGGAGGATTCATAGAGTATACGGGAGGTAGGGGGAAGGAATTGGGGAGCATTCAGGTGACAAGTGGATAGAAGTGTAAATTCTTGCACAATAAAATTAGGACCTAGCGGTTTGGATCTCCGTTTGAACTGACCTGAAATTCAGGGATATGAGGATCTGGGAGAATTGAATCAGGCTCATCACTAATAATTACACACCCCAAAAGGTCTACATCTGGTTACATTACTGTAGTGAAAAATCTCATAACCAGAAAAATATGGTGTTGCTAAAATATTTGAGTGGTTCTTTTCTAATGTTTTCAAATCTTTTTTTCATTGTCAACTACTGAAGTGAAAAGCATGGCATTTGCAGATACTGATTAATGACACAGGAATTCCTCCTTGAATCATCCATTCTGAGACTGCAGCAACATGCTGAAATATATCGTTATCGTAAAAGAATTTACCTGTTCAGTTACTCTGCAAAAGCCGTGAAACACTTTAAACCATGTCTTTACTGCCAGTGAAGATATATACAAAATAAGTTCCCAACTCAGTACCTGTGCTAGGAAAAGTGATATGCAATTGATGTAAATTGGTACTAATACTCACTTTGTTTATCAGAAGCCCTACCTCTAAAGCACATTACTATGAATTGCAAATATACCAGTACTTTGAGTAAAACAATTAAGGCTCTTAGGTGCATTTGATAATCTACTGCTGTGGGAATGCCCCTGGAATATTTTGATCATTAGTAACACTGTACTAATTTTTGCAAGTACAGGCAGTCCCCGGGTTACGTACCAGATAGGGACTGTAGGTTTGTTCTTAGGTTGAATATGTATGTAAGTTGGAACTGGCATCCAGATTCAGCTGCTGCTGAAACTGACCAGCGGCTGACTACAGGAAGCCCGAGGCAGAGTTGCTCTGCCCCGGGCTTCCTGGAATCAGCCGCTGATCAGTTTCAGCAGCAGCTGACTTGGGGACGCCTGGGGTTCTTAAGTTGAATCTGTATGTAAGAACTGACGTCCAGATTCAGCCTGTTGAAACTGATCAGCGGCTGATTCCAGGAAGCCCAGGACATAGCAACTCTGCCTCGGGCTTCCTGTAGTCAGCTGCTGGGCAGTTTCAGCAGCGGCTGGATCTGGGTGCCCGGTCCGACTTAAAAAAA